ATGCTCGACACAGGGGCATCTCACAACTTCATAAAGGTCAAGGAAATGAAAAGATTAGGCATTCAACTCAACAAGGTAGAAGGTATCATTAAGGCGATAAACTCCCCAACTAAACGAGTCCTTGGGATCACCAAAGATGTGAAGATCAGGGACTGGCAAGGTATGCTAGACTTTACTATTGTCCCTATAGATGATTTTAAAGTTGTGTTGGGACTTGCTTTCTTTTACAAAGTACATGCCTTTCCTATTCCTGAAGCTAAGTCTATGGTGATCATTGACTCTAACATGATTCGAGTGATCCCTTTGAAGCACGTGGAGAAATCTAAACTTATGATTTCTGCCTTGCAATTTAAGAGGGGTCTCAAGAATTTAAAAGGCTATGTTGCTACCGTACGTTCATTGGCTAAGGAAGAGGATGGCACAACCAATCCACAAGAAGCCTTGCCACCCTATATCCAAGAGGTGCCATGGGAGTACAAGCATGTCATGCTGGATGAGTTGCCTAAGAAACTACCTCCCAAAAGAGAGGTAGACCATTAAATCAAGTTGGAGCCTGGTGCCAAACCACTTGCCTTGGCACCTTACTGTATGTCACCTCCAAAACTTACTGAGTTAAAGATACAACTATAAGATCTCCTTGATTCAAGATATATCCAACCATCCAAGGCCCCATATAGTGCCCTAGTCCTCTTCCAAAAAAGGATGGATCGCTACGGATGTGTATCCACTACAGGGCCTTGAATAAGATTACAATTAAGAACAAGTACCCGATACCTTTAATCGCTGACCTGTTTGATCAGCTTGGAAAGGCCAGGTACTTCTCTAAGCTTGATCTTCGATCAGGGTACTATCAAGTACGCATCGCCATAGGTGACGAGTTGAAGACAACTTATGTGATAAGATATGGAGCATTCGAATTCCTTGTCATGCCCTTTGGACTAATGAATGCCCCAGCAACATTTTGCACGCTCATGAACAAGTTGTTCTACCCTTACTTGGACCAGTTCATGGTGGTATACTTGGATGACAGCATGGTGTATAGCAAAACCCTTGAGGAACATGCTCAACACTTGAAGAAAGTCTTCTAGATACTCTTTGATCACGAACTCTACATTAAGTTGGAAAAATGTTCTTTTGCCAAACAAAAGGTGGACTTCCTGGGGTATAAGATCAAGGATGGGAAGCTCATGATGGACCTAACTAAAGTTCGAGCCATTCAAGAATGGCAACCTCCTACCAAGGTCCCGAAGCTATAATCATTTCTTGGTCTAGTGAACTGCTATCGTCAGTTCATTAAGGGATATTCAACAATTGCTGCTCTATTAATAGATTTACTTAAGAAGAATAGATCCTGGCAATGGTCACAAGATTGCCAGGATGCTTTCAAAAAGCTAAAGCAGATGGTCATGCAAGAGCCTGTTATGTCCTTGCCCGACTACTCCAAGCCATTTAAGGTATACACTGATGCCTCAGACTTTACAATAGGGGGTGTGTTCATGCAAGAAAGACACCCTATTATGTACGCGAGCCGCAAGCTGAATGACATAAAGAGATGCTACATGGTGCAAGAAAAAGAAATGGTTGCTATCATCTACTGTCTATAGAGCTAGCATCACTACTTACTTAGAAGTAAATTCACTATAATGACAGACAATGTTGCCATGAGCTACTTCTAGACACAGAAGAAGCTTAACCTGAAGCAAGCTCATTGGCAGGATTTTCTTATTGAGTTTGACTAACAGTTAGAGTACAAGCCAGGTAGAGCAAACGTGGTAGCTGATGCATTAGGCAAAAAAGCTGAGTTATCTACTCTCACAACAAGCATGCCCTAGAATGACTTCCTTGAATGAATTAAAGAAGGTATGTCTCAAGACTCTATTGCAAGCGACTTAGTAAAGCTTGCTACAGATGGCAAGACTCGAAGATTCTGGGTGAATGATGGAATACTCTACACCATTGGGAACTGAGTCTATGTGCTAAAATGGGGTAGCCTTCGAAGGGATGTCCTGAAAGAATGCCATGATTCCATGTGGGCCAGACATCCAAGTATGAACAAACTCTTGCTCTCATACAAAATCATTTCTACTAGCCACATATGCAAGATGATGTCAAAGCATATGTGAGGACCTGCTTAGTATGCTAGCAAGATAAAGTTGAACAACAACATCCTGCTAGTCTACTCAAACCTCTGCCAGTGGCTGAAAGACCATAGGAGAGTGCCTCAATAGACTTTATAATTGCTCTCCCTAAGTCTAAAGGATGTGGGAGTATTATGGTGGTGGTTGATAGATTCAACAAATATGCCACCTTTATATCAACCTCCGCAGATTGCAAAGTTGATGAAGCAACATGCTTGTTTTTTAAGCATGTCGTAAAGTTATAGGGGATTCCTTGAAGCGTTGTTAATGATCGAGATCCCTAATTCACTGAAAAATTCTAGAGAGAACTTTTCAAGCTCTTGGAGATAGACTTAAACTTCTCAATAAACTTTATCGTCAGAGCGATTAAACTTCTCAATAAACTTTTATCCTCAGAGCGATCAACAAATAGAGCAGATAAATGCTTTGTTAGAGCTTTATCTTCAACATTACGTGAGAGCTCATCAACAAGATTGGGCTAAGTTGCTTGATGTGGCCCAATTCTCTTACAACTTGTAGCGACGCAAGTCGACAAGTGAGAGCCTTTTTGAGATAGTTACCGGGCAACAACCTCTAACCCCTAACCCACTTGCCATACCATATAAGGGAGATGATCCAGCTGCCTATAAGTTTACTAAGGAATGGCAAGAAGAAGCAGATATTACTTATGCATGCCTAGATAAAGCCTCCCATAAAATGAAGAAGTGGGCAGACAAGAAGCGGTGCCCCATTGAATTTCAAGTTGGTGACTTGGTTATGGTAAAGTTATTGCTGAATCAATTCAAGTCACTATGCAAAGTCCACAAAGGCTTGGTTAGGAGATATAAAGGCCCTTTCCCTATCATCACATGTGTGGGAAAGGTTGCGTATCAGGTACAACTTCCTCCCAAGCTTAAGATTTATCCTATCATCCTTGTTAGTCTCTTGAAGAAATACTGTAGAGATGAAGAAGATCTATCTCAAAGTATCACTAAGAGAGCACCAACAGTAGTCGTTACTGAATACGACAAGGAGATAGAAGAGATCCTCACTGATAGGGTGATCAAAAAGAGAGGAGTTCCTAACTACACCGAGTACTTAATCAAGTAGAAAGGTCGACCAGACTTTGAAGCTAGTTGGGAATGTGAAGACCTCCTGTGGTAGTTCATTGACCAAATCCAACACTACAAGGAGGAAGGTGCGATGAGGGCATCGCAAAATTAAGTAAGGAAGAACGTCACAATCCATGATATTTTATGAGGTTAAGGATGTTTGAAATGCTCCAGAACCCTCCAGAAGGCTCCCGGATAACCTTAAGAGTGCAAGAACATTCTAGAGAAATCTACACCACTCTAGCCTCAATATTTTAATATTGCCTCTAGATATTTTCATGTAAATATCTAGATATTTGTTGTAAATATCTAAGAGAGAGTTCTAGAGAATCAATTGTAACTATAAGATCGATTTCATCTCCACCGTCCATTAAGGAGGTAGGAATTTTCTAGTCTCGAGGGGAGGTCGATAAATACCTCACCCTTCCTCATTTGTAAACCATCTTGGATTTTCAAAGCAATACTATTCTCACATTCTCTAAACTTTCTCAACTATCCTTTGCCCTCAAGTTTTCCCTTTCCTCAACTTAGCTGAGCATTCTCCTTCTCATCCAAATTAGGCTTACACTTTTAAAAGAGTGTTTAAGTACCGCACGACTAGCCTCGTGACACTAAGCTCTCTAATATTTGAGAGGTGACCTACCCAAATGTAATATTTACCCCGAGTTTTATCCAAAAATTACACAATTCAAATAAACTAAGTGTGGTTAAGGAGTTGATCCTAAAACCAACTTAGAAAACAAATCATTTAAATCATTAAACAAATATACCATCACAAAATATAAATTTAAAACCTTTAGAAAAATTTATAGGTTCTACCTATAGCACATAGAAGCAAGTTAGACGAAAGCAGGATAAAAAGATGCGGTCATGATAGCATTAAATTGCTGCCATGACAACTCTCCCGGGCTAACTTTCGAGAGGCGCCGTTCTTCCATTTGACCTCCGATCGAAGTGATTTTAAAGCTCACATGTCATTTTTAATGATTACTAGTAATACACTAAATTTTAAAATGATCTAACAGTTGGATTAGAATTTAGACACTCTACAAGATGGATAAAGTTGCTGTCATGACAGCACTTCTGGACCAAATTTTGGAGTGCACAATTTCATCATCTAACCTCCGATCGGAGAGACTCCAAAGCCCACATGTCAATTTTAAAGAGTACTATTAGCATACCAAATTTTGAAAAGATCTAACAGACGGACTGAAATTCGTGCGTGTTACAAATTCAGCCACTTTGCTGTCATGACAGCACCTCTGGACTAACTTTTGAAGTGTACCATTTCCCTGTATGATGTTCAATTGAGGTGATTCCAAAGCTCACATGAAGATTATAAAAATTTTACTTGTGACCCAAATTTCAAAAAAATCCAACAGTCTGATTGAAATTTAAACACTCAGATGCAAAAGTGTAGCTTTTGGTAAAAACCGTCTTCAAATTTGTTCAAATCTCATCATAAGGGTCACAAACTTGTGGGAACACTTTGGACACATCAAATAGGACTAGGAGTATCTAATAGAACATTTAAATGATGGAAAAATCCCTTATATTAAAATTTGACCACCCGGGTGCCATTTTTCAAAATAGATCCTAAGCTCCCAAAATTTACAAACCACATAAGAGTGGCCAAATATTTTGGAATATTAGACAGAAATTTTCAAAACCCACCAATTAATAACATAGTCAAAACAAAAAACAATCCACTAAAAACTTATAAGATGAATAGCAATCTTTTATTGAAAACATAGCAATAAGTTCATCTTCCTTAAATTTTAGTAAGTGTGACAGTGTTATTGGAGTAAACATGATCACTTTGTTGAGAAGATTCTAAATTCATAGTGCATTGCCTCTTTGTGAAAGCAGGTTGTGTTGGTGAAGGAAGATTCACAATCTCACTATTAAGCATTGAATACACAATGGCCATACTTGGTCTATCTTTTGCAAGTTCTTGTACGCATAGAAGTCCAATATGTATGCATCTCAAGATCTCCATATGAAAGCTTGGATCATATATTTTCGAGTCTATCAGAGATTTAACATTGTCTTCCTTCCATAGTTTCCATGCCTACAAATATCAAACCAATGGTATAATCATTAAATATATACACCACCATAAGACTCTTGAAAATCAAAATTGTATGTGAATGAGTCTTACAAATCCCAATAGGCTTAAGGACATCTCCTGATGATAGAAGCTAGTATTTTTCTTCCCACTAACAATTTCTAACAACAACACTCCAAAACTGAAGACATCTGATTTCTCTGAAAATAATCCTTGCATTGCATACTCAGGAGACATGTAGCCGCTATATTTCCAAACACATTATTTGCATATTAATTTCACTATATCGTTGAATAATGAAATAAAATATCATTATAGAAAATGTGACATTGTGAAACTTACTATGTCCCAACAACCCTTCTAGTGTTTCCTTGATCATTCTCATTGCCTTTAAAAATCTTTGCCAAGCCAAAGTCTGATATTTTTGGATTTAGCTCTTCATCCAATAAGATATTACTTGCCTTAAGATCTCTATGTATTATTTTTAATCTTGAATCTCTATGGAGATAAAGTAATCCTCGAGTAATTCCTTCAATTATGCTGTAGCGTTTTCTCCAATCTAAGACTACTACTTTCCTTGAATCTAAAGAGGAAGAAAGGAAGAAAATTTCATGAGGTGACCAAAACCAAAATCATATTTACTTATATCTAAAAACCTCCAAAGTGAAACATCCCATTTGATGAGAAAATAACAAGAACTAACCAAAGAGCATTGCATCCAAGCTTTTGTTAGGCATGTACTCATAGACCAACATCTTTTCATCTTGCTCAATACAACAACCAATAAGTCTTACAAGATTGCGATGTTGAAGCTTAGATATCACCTTTACTTCATTCATAAATTCTTCAAGGCCTTGCCCAGAGCCTCTTGAAAGCCTTTTAATAGCTATGGCCTGTGAATCTTGCAATTCTCCCTACAAGAAAATGGATAAAAATTAAAGAATCTGTTATTAATTGTAGATGTACATCTACATACACCCACAACATATATATATATTCCTTCTGAATTATAATATATGACATTGATAACTAACTCATGATTCTAAAATAATGTTAAGTGAAACCTTAATTTCTTAAAAAAAAAACCCTTACATCTTTTCAATTACCATCATTAAATATCCTATATAAGGAGCTTGATAATAACAATTAAAATTTCAATGCCTACTTTTTTCAAAAGAGTAATAAATAAAGTAAGGGTATAGTAGTAAAAACAATTATGAAGTTACCCAATGCTTTATATTTTGAACCAAGTAAGGTTTCTAGAAAATAAATTATATCATGTTCCGGAGAGAATATATATATATATATATATATGTGAATATATTTAATTTGACTCAGTTTTACCTTGTATACGAGACCAAAACCTCCCTGACCAATCATGTTACATCCGTGAAAGTTGTTTGTCGCAATTGCAAGCTTTTCAAATTCAAACAGTGGAAGCTCCTCTAGTTTTTCTTGTCCCGAGTCTCTTATCATCATGCTTTCACTCAGACCATTTTGATTCGTTTTGCCTGTATTAAACAACATGTCAATCCGAATTAACTCCACTCATCATTAATTGTGGATCCCTTTGAATAACTTAGAAACTAATATTATAATTTAGTGCAACAGTGTTTAAATTAAAGTGGCCAGAATATATAGTGCATGTACCTTTTGATCTGGCAACAATTTTCCATAGAAAATAAGAACATGCCGCAAAAACAGTGACTCCGATTGTTAAAGAAATAGCAATCACTATCACTTTCCACTTGTCCCTTCTTTTATCTCCTATTTTATCTGCAACATTGTGCATTAATATGAATAAAACAAGTTTATCGGATTGATATGAGCTTGGAAAGTGGAAAAATAAACTGAAGGAATTACAAGATATACCGAGTTCTGAATTTGCTAGACGAATGTAAAGATCAACACCTTTAGGAGCGAATGTTCGAATATCAATTAATTTACCATTCCATAACATGCATGCTATGGCTAAATCATATGCATAAGCCAAACAAGAGCAATTTTGTAAACATTTCCTTCCGCAATTTTCTTCATCAGGAACCTGCAATTGCTCTACAAAATCTGGTGGTTTCACGCTCTCTAGTTTCTTGAACCCATCTTCACTTCCACTTTTAATCCTCTTGTCACACTGCAATGGTTCTTTTCTTGTACAACCATTTTTCCAGTTTTGCTTATTCCATTCATCTGGATACTTGGGCTCAAACCCATATAAACAGCTACAAATTGGAGTGCTTTCAGGATTACAGTATCCAAACTCTCCACATTGACCATACACATCGCATTCATTGTGTTGAATCCTCCATCTTCTAACTTCTTTCTCGTTGATCCATCCCGTTATAACCCATTCTCCTATTGAGCTCAACTTAAAGACTCCGAAATGAGAAGTTCTTGCCAGATCAAAAGAAATGCAATATGTACCATTGTCTTCGTTTAGACTGAATCCGTCAAGATTTGAAGAAGCATATGCTTTAGACCTATCGTATGTAGCATTCACTCCTAGAAATTCCCCGCCATTCCATGGACCAGAACGCCAATATGGTTTAGACCCATTGTAGATTACAACTTCAGGAGCATCCAAATGTTCAAGACTTGCAGAGAAGCTACCTATGGATGGATCAGAAGGGGATTTCCAAGAAGTAAGAAGCGTTGGTTTTTCGCCTGTTCCTGGATTTGTACCAAGTTTCATCTTTGGAATAAATGAATCAGAAGGATGCTGAAAACTCTCCCATAGTGTTTTTCCTGTGGTGTTATCACTCAGAACAAGGTTCCCAGTGTCTAGAAGTTGAGCCATTGATGAATCGGGAGGAATGTTTGACACATTAGATGACCAAAGTGTGAGATTTTGATCATTCAACCCCACCAGGTTGCCATCCTCTGAAATTGTGAAAACCCCAGAAGAATCTCTCACAGGGTTGTTTCTGTTAGCCACCCATATTACTGTGGATTCATTTAGATACCAAATTCCAACATAGCGATTGGTTGAATTTATTGGGCTAAAGAACCCAAGTTTGAAGCTGCCTGAGCTTACAGTATCAGCGTCTTTGATTAATTGAAACGAGTCATTAAAATCTATAGAAGAACCGGAATATAAATAGAAGCATGAAATGAGCAGCAAGACACCTACAATAATATCTTTACACATGATTCTTAATACTGATCCACCTATTTCCTCACCTCTAGGATTAAATTTGGATGTTCTTCCAGTAGCGCAGATCAAATTAATGGCCTTAGGCGATCAGAGTAATGCTTTTTTAATCTTCTCCATGACTCCCCATTTCTATCTCCGCTCTCTCAGTTCCAGCTAGCAGTGGGAGTCGGGTACGACATTAATACACACACACATCCAAAAAACTCACGAGGGCATATCAATAATTTGGGGAATCGTAGAAATTGGGCGGTAAAGTTCCATTACACAGGAACTTACACAAAGTTACATATGTTAATACATAGTACTCCCTCGTATTTTTAATTGAATTAATTATACACTCAAGGGATTACTACTTCCAATCTTATTTATAAAGTAGTGAGAGAATAAATTTTTTGTCCTATTTATAAATCATTTTATTAAATTTTTATCATAATTTTTCCCTTTTTCCATCCCTTAAATGTTAGTGAGAGAAAGTACCCTCTACTTTTAAATATAAGAAAAACTACCATGTGTTATTTTATTTTTATTAATAAGAAAACTACAGATTTTAAGAAGCGTATATTACATTTTACCCAAATTTTTCCTTATCAAGTCAATGTTTATGTTCACTAGACAAATTTGTTTAATCAATTACAGGAAAAATTTAGTCCAAAATTTTTAATTTCAGATATAATTATAATACTTAACAATTTTTTTTTTCAATTGCATGAATTGCTTATTTTCTCTTACATTTGAAAATGTAGGGATGTTATTAAAAGGAGGTATATTTTATAGACGTAAAGTTAAAAATTTATTAAATTTTTAAACAGAATTAATGAATTTTAAAGTCTTTAAAATTACACATTTTTCAAAAAATCACAACACTCAATCTAAGTAATTATATGCAATTTAAAAGAAAAAGCATTCTGGAAAATTATATTGAAGGATGACATCCTAACAAAATTAAAACTCAATTTGTAAATTTGATTTATAAACTCTAATTATTAATACTAATTAAAGATAATATGTTCATAATATGTAATCATAGAAATATTTCACATGCGAACAGTGAGTGTGTGTATATTATCGTTATTGTATTGAAGAAACAAATATGAACTAATAAATGTCATAATATATATATTTTACTTTTAATGAAAATTTGTTAGTAGAATTTAGAGATAATTAAAGTGTTAATTATTAGAATAAAAATATCTCAATCAACGTAAAAGTTGCTTATATTTGCCTTGATTTAACTCATTATGGGAACATGGTCTGGCCCATAAGAAAATGTTAGGAAGAATACAAATAAAAGTTGTCATGTAAAAGAAGTTGTGCAGTGAAAGAAAAGACCAAACTTTCATTGTTGTTTTATTTCATTTGAAGTCAAGTTTGATAGGCTACAAAGAATGTCCCCAAAAGAACGTTAGTGAGGAGACCACAAAGTCACAAATAAATATATCAAAATTAAAGTCTTTAGATAAATATATAGGAGACATATTGGCGTGCTTGATGGTATTCAAATTTGTCTTTTATTTTGTAGTCACAATCCATTTGACAAGAAACATTGCCTTATGAATGATACAAGAATCAATGCAACTTCATTTACTTATGTGTTAAATTTTATATTGGCAATAGTTGATGACTATTTGAAATCCTTAAAATTATACCAGCAAAACCTGAATGAAATTATAGAGATTATCTATGTTTTTTTGAATATAAAATATAAAATAACAATATAAAAACTAGTGAACCATATGCTATAATTCCTTATTATTGGATTTGATTTTGAAAATTGTATTGTTGAATTTAGGTAGACTTAAGTCATGATGTGAACATGATCTGGCTCAGAAGAAAAAGTATTAACCACGCAAATCAATATGAAAGACTGAATGTTGTCCCTTAAAAGAAGTTGATACAAAGAATGGGAAATAAAATTACGTGTCGTATATATATTTTCTTCTATCATCAACCACATTTTGATTGTCATTGCATTGTTTTGATTTGTGGTTGGTCAAAAAGAAATTTGTGCTTCTTTAAAATTGAACAAGTTTGATATATTTATAAGTTGTTTCATATGAAATTGAACGAGAAGTACGCAATATATACTTAAAAATAAAGGTATATATCATAGCAAATGATCCACAAATTATAAAAAAGGATAAAGAAATTTATAATTTTAGGTTCTTTTCTGTGATTCTTTTGGTTATTTTTTTTTATAATTTTTGAATTTATTTTTTATAATTTTCTAATTAACTAATGGTCAAAGTTAATGGTAGGGGAAAGCTTGGTATGATTTTAATGTTTAGGTGTTAAAATGCATAAAAAATGAGTTTTGGATCTCATATACTCTTGAGCTTATGTTTTAAGGGCCAAATTACCATTTTACCCTAAATTATATTATAGAGAGAGATTATACAAAAAGAAATTAGAGGTAATTAATATATATTGATTTTTTAATAAAAATTTATGTGAGTTAAATCCTAGGAGCTCATCAAGATTAAGGCGTGTCTCTAAACTCAAAGAGCGCTTTGAGCGATATTTACAAATTGCCCATGAATAAGGTCCTCATATTAATGGCAAGATTTGAACCCATGACCTTGTGAGTCATGGGCTAAATTTTACCAACTGAACCAACCATTGTTAATTGGTTCATATATATTGATTTTAATTGGAAGGAAATCTTAAAAGTAGTTACAATTCTTTACCATTATAGTGATACAAATTACTTTTAATTATTTTTCTCAGTCATGTGAAGTAGTTAAATGCATCATATTTTGGTAATTACTATTTGTTTGTTAGAAAAACTAACACTAATATAGATAATAACAAATAGTGATTAAAATATAGATAATAAGTCATGTGACTAAAGACTCCTTTGATATGATTATATTAGCATAATTATTTAAGTTAATGCAAAACATGATTGATGTAATGAATGTTTTATCAGCACATGTCAGTGACACACTACACAAAAAATGACTTTTGGTAGTGACTTTTTAGTGGCACTAAAAAAGTTGCCACCAAAAAATGGACTTTTGGCAATGACATTTAAAAGTCACCTTTGATAAACACTTGGATCAACCAAGGTATACACATGTCCATGTTGGACTTATATGCTGATCCTAATCCTTCATGGAAGAAAAGGTATTCTTGCTACTATAACACTTGCCCTGAGTGTTAATAAAAACACACCACAACCAAATAATTTAAGTGTGGTTAAGAAGTTAATCTCAAAACCAACTTAGAAAATAAACCATTTAAATTGCCAAAAAATCTATATAATAGAAAAATAAACATTTACAACCTCTTAAAAAGTTTGAAAGATTACTATATAGTGCACGGAAGCAAATTGGATAAACAAGGGTAATTAGTTGCTGTTATGATAGCATTAATTTTGTTGTCATGCCAGCCCTCTTGGGCAAACTTTTGGGAGGTTTTGATTCACCATCTGGCCTTCAATTGAAGTAATTTCAAAGCTCACATGTCACTTTTAATGAATATTAGTAGTCTTCCAAATTTTACAAAGATCCAATGGACAGATTAAAATTTGAACACGTTACAAGTTTGGTATTTTTGCTGTCATGATAGCACATTTAAACTAATTTTTGAAGTGCATCATTTCATCATCCGACCTTTAATCAGAGTGATTTTAGAGCCACACATTACATTCAAAGTGTACTACAAGTGTACCAAATTTCAAAAATATCCAATTGTCGGATCAAAATTTATGGGCATCCCAACCTCAGCAATTGTTGCTGTCATGATAGCATTATATTGCTGTAATGACAGCATCTCTGAGCTAACTTCTAGAGCATGTCATTTCTCTGTTCGATGTCCAATCAAGGTGATTTCAAAGCCTATACAAAGATTATACAATTTTTTACTTGTGACCCAAATTTCAGGAAGATCTAATAGTCGGATTGAAATTTGAACACTAGGATGTAAAAGTGCAGCTTTTTGGTAAAAAACTATTTTCAAAATTGTTCAAATCTCATCTGAAGGGTTACAAACTAGTGTGAACAATTTGGACACATCAAATAGGACTAAAAGTACTTGATAAAACATTTAAATGATTGAAAAACCCTTTATATTAAAATTTGACCACCCGGGTGCCATTTTTCAAAATGGACTTGAAGCCCTCAAAATTCACAAATCATACAACAGTGGCTAAGAACCAATTCAAATACCATATGCTCAAATAAATATACGTGCTGAACATTTTCACTTGGCTCAGAGAATCTCACAGGGCCCATACACCCACTCTCTCTATCCAAAGTGTATGTTTGCCCATAGCACATAATTCGCAATGCAACCACTTTGCATTTGCTTATAGACTCACATATATTCACATGTATACCTATATATATATATATTTTTTCTTGTAGTGAAAAATTAGTCTACCAAATAAATCTATTAAAATCACACACCATAACCAAGTTTCTTAGCCACAAGTCTACAAGCAAACAAAAATTCATACACAAGCACATAATCTTCACATATTCACATACATGTATAGTCACATCCTACTGGCACCCTAACCTAAATATATTACACTGTACTTGCTTAAAAGCATGGAATTGCATTTCTTTACAAATCACAGGTAAACCCTTAGCTTTGCTCCTATCCCTGTTCACCACTGGATGCTTCGCCTAGACTTGTAAATATTATAATAAAAAGGGGTGAGATAACCACAGTTTTAGAAGCAAGAAATCTACATTTATTATTACAAAGTAAGCCATAGTTGAATAAATGAATAATAAATTAAACATAACATATAATTTAGTCATTAAAATGCATGATTGCATGATATAGGTTGGTATGACCTTTCCTGATCGACAGAATGCCCCTTGGTACTCTTTAGCTTGCAAGTCAACCTTATATCTACTTGTACCCTTATAGACATAAAAAATAATCTAAGGCATGATTGAATTCACCTAACTATCTATGCTCATTCGACATGAATTTTGAGCAATTAAAACTAACTTTCTCTCAGAGTTAGCTTGATTTACTCTCTATGTGAGGGCTAACTTAACCTAGGCACTCAATCTCACACTTTATATGTCAGATTCCCTCCTCACTAAGAGGTGTCAAACACTCAATTCACTAACCACTTTAGTGCACTAAGCTCACAATACAAAAGCCAACACTGAGTACTAGCAGTATGCCATAAAATATCATAATTTCACACCTTCCCGTTAGTGAACTCCCACCGAGATCATGCCTTTTACTCTTGTTTACCTTTCCAAGTATTGACCACTTCAGCACGCTAAGGTAGAATAACATATATCACTTCTCCCTTAAGCGGTTCCTTAGCCTATTTAAGGTACCTAACCCAGTTACATTTCTTTAAGTGTAACTTTCAGTCTCTATAATTACCTAATGAATTAAATGCAAACTAACTTAAGAGTGTGATAGTTGGACGTTCTATTAAAATAGGAACCTAGGTATTGTTAATGGAAGAATCTTAGTCCCTAATTGATTATGGTAGCTCACTCAACCTTTCTTCCTTGGCTAAAAAAAGTGTTTACTTAAGACAACTATCTTAAGTAACCTAGCTTAACTAATTCAATTCTCTAAGTGCTATTACAATCCCCTTAGGTATTTCACTAGCTTAGCTTTGAAATTAACCAAGTGTCTAATTATATTTCACTCCCCAACAGCCTTGGTTCATAGGTAACTCAAGCACAAAACTATGCAACTCAAGTATTTAATCAAACATTTACCAAACATAACAAATGCTAGGTTAATGCAAGACTAAGAACCACTTGAAAAATCACATTGTCATGAAATTCATTCAAGTGGCTAAAATTCTAGAATTCTAAGGGAATAGAAACTAAATCAACAATCATGTTTCAATATAACCAATTATCACAAACTATGAAACTGAAGTTACATTGAACTAATCAACCTGGACACAGTATTCAAATGAAATTGAAACAAGAGAATGAAATAATTGAGCTTAGCTAAGTAAAGACTTCAAAACTCTTCTTCCATCAACTTTCCCCTAGGATTTCATGGAGAATTTAATTAGAAAATATCAAGAACATATTACTCCTGTAAGAACTCCAAGAGGCCATGAGGTTGAAGGTGTCTATTAATGGATTGATCTTTAAATCCCCTTGCAATTGGTTCGGTTGTGGTTGGCCAAGGGAGAGAAGAAGAATGGTGGAAGAATTTTTGAAGTTTGATGGATGGATAAAGAGTTATGGATGCTGGAAAAATGGAGAAAGTAGAGAGAAGGTGGAGAAAATGAAGAACAAGATGAACTAGAGAGAGAATAGAAGAGATGAGTGAAATGGCTTATTAAATATCAATTTGGGGGGTGTGGGACGTGCTCTGAGTGTTTCCCCATCAGCTGAAGCTTAATTAAAAAATAAGAAAAGAAAATAGATGAAAAATGGGAGCTTTATTACACTTGCAAAGTGGCACCCTCCTATTAGCTTATAGATGATTCCAATGTGTACAATTAATCCCATGTGTCATCCATAATTTTATTTAATCTAAATCACCAAATAGTAGCCCTTACACATCCAAACCATCAGCATTTGACCCCATGGATTTTTGACTCCATTTGCCTAATTGATGCACAAGTCACATGCCACCTATGTCATGTAAATCACATAATTCAATTAAATAAAATGTGACATTATAAAATACAATTAAAGCCTAGAATTAAATTCATAATTAGAAGGAAGAATTTATTGAAATAACCAAGTTTCAGGTTGCACAAAATTATATAAAAATTTTCACACAAAAGTAAACCAAAAATTAGGTCAAACTAAGAGATTTAGGAAAGTATTGACTTTTTATTTAATTACTCCCAAACCAAAATAAATTTTAAAAATCTAATTTGACCACTCATCAACTGGATATAAAGTTTCCTTTGTCAATTTTTTCTTGAACATTTTCCTAAAAGTTCATTTTTGGACCAAAATACTCCGATGCACTGAACCTAGACACTTAGGAAATTTTTTAAATCTAATGCAATGAGTACACTTTGAGATGATAAAAAATTAACAAAAAGGTACTAATTGACATAGATAAGTGTGTAACAAATATGTTCTATCAATTCCACCTATTTTTTGCCCTCCGGGCAAAATCAAGTGAAAATGATACCAAAAGAAACATTAAAATAAAGAACAAGAGGAGAACAATGTTTAAAGTCATTAAATTACTAGATCAAGAATTTCTACAAATTATCAATCAATGTGGCAATAATTATGAAAGAATTATGCACATCACAAGGAAACCTTTGCCAAGAATTAATGTCAAAGAGTAGGCCTCACTAAGTCAATTGTTTGCTCTCATCACTCAAAGTGTTTAAGGTATTTAATTTCACTCAAAATTTCTTAGGATGAATCCTACCATAAGTTTGTACCCCTTCTACATCTCTACTACTAAATAGCACTTGCAATCAAGAATTAAGTGGACTTTATTGGTTGTAATATGAGTAATGAAAGGATGACTAAGAAATTTAAGTAGACTATGAATAAGATACATCTCCTAATGTGCAAAGCATAACCTAATTCAATTTAAGTAGACACCTTAACATAATGATGACGGAGAGAAATGACAATAATTGATGAAACAAATGGAACTAGATTAGCTAGGCAACTTTTTATTCTTTTCTTTCTTTTATTTTCACCTTATTTTCTCCTTTTTTGTTTCTTTTTTTTTTCTAGCAACTTTGTTGGTTTTTATTTTCATTTTTTTTTCAAATCTTTCTTTTCTTTTCTTTTTCTTTTGGTTCCTCCTAACTATTTGAGAAAACAATGAAAATAATAGTGTGACAATAGGGGATAAAAAGTAATGGATAGAAAAATAACAAAAAAATCCACTCCTTTGATTTATGACATACAATGCATATTAAAAAGATATAAAAATGTAACATGCATCCATTTGGAAAATAGGATGAATATTTATTTTGAAAGAATCAAACCAAAAGCTCAAAGTAGCTAACAAAGGATAATCAATAATAATTGGGTTGACTTTTGGCCCTTGGCTATTTTTATATGAATGCCATCTTTCATTTCTTATCAAGCAACTGCATGACATGTGGTTTTAATTAAGAAGTGAAATAAATTTAAGAGGGTAACATTACTAAGGAACTAATCACACATGAGTATTTGGCTTCTTCCATGAAAGGATAATGTGCCACTCTAATCCATTAATTTAAGGTAAAAGAATGTTCACTTCACACCTATTCAATCCTAAAAGCTACCACATCTCAAGCATCAAAATATTCATTCAAATAGCTAAGTCATTAAGTAACCTAAAACAAAACCAAACAAAGCACAAAAATTTTTCTGAATTTTTTTCAAAATAAAACAAAGAAAACAAAATGTTTATCTCTCTCCCCCACACTTAAATCATGCATTGTCCTCAATGTATGTATAGACTAATTATGGGACAAGGTAAGATTATTAAAATGGATGCATGCATGATAAAAGTATGGTACAATTTTTTTTCAAACAAAACAAATAACCAAAAAGAAATAAATAAAATAAAGCAAATAAATTCTAACTTTTTCTACTAGGTTGATCTCCCCCACACTTAAATCATACCCAATAATCAAATATATCAAATAACACAGGTAAAAGCTCAAGGTTAGAGAGATACAACCTTATCATGGTAGCTCAAAATAGGTGGTGGAATCTCTAATGATGAAATTGAGATCCTTCCATACGCATTGATTGGAAAATTCTCCTTTGAAGCCATCCGGAGGCTTAGGCTCAATTAGCAAAGGTCTTAAAATATAAGTAACAAAGCATTGACCTTGCACAATTAGAAAATCAAACAACTCAATCGATGGATTTAAATTAAGTAGTGGTGAATGAATAAATGCACCATTAATGAAATAAAATGAATTAATAAAGTTCAAAGCAAACAACTCCTTTTCTTTATCCAATTCTAGATCACATGAAATGATCTCCTTTAATAACTCAATAACAAGCTTTTCATTTGTGTGAGAGAAATCTTGAAATTCTAAAGCTTGAACTTGTTAATTTCCTTCTTGAATAGTCGCGGCCTCATTCACCTCAATGAAAAATGCATCAAATCCATGAGAAGTCTCAATAGTATTATTTTGAACACCTACAAGAGCAATAAAAGAACCTTCCTCAAGCATGTTTTGGTCTAAAGAAAATGAATCTAAGTGAGAGAAAAATTTTTATCGACAAACCATGCATAAATTGTCAACATCACAAGTACAAGAAAGCATAGAAGAGAAACTATCACCAAAAGCATCACCAAAAGAAATGGAAGAATTATGAAAATCAACCTCCTTGACTTCTTGTGCTATCTCATTTCTTTGTTCAAGTCCTCACTACTTGCTATGGTTTCCTCCAAAATACTAAGAGAGTACACAGCCTTAAGGGTTTCAAGAGAAGAATTTTCTTCCAATAGCTTAAGAATCTCATGGACATCAAGCTCGAGTGGAGAAAATTCTTAAAGATTAGCCTCTTTAGTGTGTGTACCTACATCACAAGAAATAATACCCTTCTCATGGCCATTAAGTTCAAGCATAGTAGCCATTTTATCATCATCAAATAGTTCATGAGAAGAGGTACCATTCAAGTATACATCAACATTTAAGTAATTTTGGCACACAAAAGTATCAATGTAAGAGCAAGAAACACAAGCAGTAGCAAGTATAGATTCATGAGTAAGTGAAGGAAATGCATAGTGCTCAATAACCTCATCAAGTAAAGTGTCAATGGCATTTATATCAAGTAGGGAATAATCCTCAAAAGGCCTCTTCATTGCCTCATATATATTGCAATTAATTTGATCTTCCCCACATTTTAAGAGCAAAGTACCCTTATCCATGTCAATTAAAGTACAGGGCTGTTCCCATAAAGGGTTTACCAAGAATCAACACATCATCCCCTTTTCTCCTCTTAGACATATCTAGCACATAGAAGTCAATTGGAATAGCAAGTCTTTTATACAAACAATTGAATCCTCAACAATACCAAATGATTTTCTTAAAGTCTTATCCACTAGTTGGCATATCATTGGGGTCTTATGCATGCAATCAAGCTTCAAAGAAGTGTAAGTTGACAAAGACATAACATTAATAATCACCCTAAGATCAATCAAGATACTAGAAAACATGGTATTTCTTATTTTACATGGAATTGTAAAAGAACCCAGATCTTTACACTTGATGAGTAATTGAGGTTTCATTATTGTACTAATAGAAGAGGGTAATTGAACCCTAGCATTAGGTCTAAACTTTCTCTTGTTAGTGTAACAATCCTTGAGAAATTTTGCATACTATGGAAAATTTTTCACAACATCAAGAAGAGGAACATTCATATGAATTTTATTAAAGAAATCAATTACTTCTTTATCATAAACTCCTTTTGGTTGATGCTTGATCACTTGAGCTTGAGAAAAAAGAAGTTTCCTCACAATTTCTTACTCTTTCTTAGCTTTATCTTCCTTTTTCTCCTCACAATTCCTTTTTCTCCTCTTGCACCAATTCTATAATTTTTGATTTTCTATCTCTTTGGCATTTTTGTGGACATTTCTCGATCTCAATCTCCTAGTATCCTCCTCCTCGTCATCCCTACATAATTGAGAATTAGTAACACTAAAAGAAGCTTGTAAAGACACGTCATTATGCAAGGATTCATCATGGATAGCCATAGCCTCTCCTTCTTTTCTCTCCTTCTTAACATCTTCACCCATTTCGTTACCACTTCTCAAAGTAATAGCATTAATAGGTGCTTTTATATCATCAAGTAAAGTGTCAATGGCATTTATATCAAGTAGGGAATAATCCTCAAAAGGCCTCTCCATTGCCTCATATATATTGCAATTAATTTGATCTTCCCCACATTTTAAGAGCAAAGTACCCTTATCCATGTCAATTAAAGTACAGGGCTATTCCCATAAAGGGTTTACCAAGAATCAACACATCATCCCTTTTTCTCCTCTTAGACATATCTAGCACATAGAAGTCAATTGGGAATAGCAAGTCTTTTATACAAACAATTGAATCCTCAACAATACCAAATGATTTTCTTAAAGTCTTATCCACTAGTTGGCATATCATTGGGGTCTTATGCATGCAATCAAGCTTCAAAGAAGTGTAAGTTGACAAAGACATAACATTAATAATCACCCTAAGATCAATCAAGATACTAGAAAACATGGTATTTCTTATTTTACATGGAATTGTAAAAGAACCCAAATCTTTACACTTGATGAGTAATTGAGGTTTCATTATTGTACTAATAGAAGAGGGTAATTGAACCCTAGCATTAGGTCTAAACTTTCTCTTGTTAGTGTAACAATCCTTGAGAAATTTTGCATACTATGGAAAATTTTTCACAACATCAAGAAGAGGAACATTCATATGAATTTTATTAAAGAAATCAATTACTTCTTTATCATAAACTCCTTTTGGTTGATGCTTGATCACTTGAGCTTGAGAAAAAAGAAGTTTCCTCACAATTTCTTACTCTTTCTTAGCTTTATCTTCCTTTTTCTCCTCACAATTCCTTTTTCTCCTCTTGCACCAATTCTATAATTTTTGATTTTCTATCTCTTTGGCATTTTTGTGGACATTTCTCGATCTCAATCTCCTTAGTATCCTCCTCCTCGTCATCCCTACATAATTGAGAATTAGTAACACTAAAAGAAGCTTGTAAAGACACGTCATTATGCAAGGATTCATCATGGATAGCCATAGCCTCTCCTTCTTTTCTCTCCTTCTTAACATCTTCACCATTTCGTTACCACTTCTCAAAGTAATAGCATTAATAGGTGCTTTTATATCATCAAGTAAAGTGTCAATGGCATTTATATCAAGTAGGGAATAATCCTCAAAAGGCCTCTTCATTGCCTCATATATATTGCAATTAATTTGATCTTCCCCACATTTTAAGAGCAAAGTACCCTTATCCATGTCAATTAAAGTACAGGGCTATTCCCATAAAGGGTTTACCAAGAATCAACACATCATCCCTTTTCTCCTCTTAGACATATCTAGCACATAGAAGTCAATTGGGAATAGCAAGTCTTTTATACAAACAATTGAATCCTCAACAATACCAAATGATTTTCTTAAAGTCTTATCCACTAGTTGGCATATCATTGGGGTCTTATGCATGCAATCAAGCTTCAAAGAAGTGTAAGTTGACAAAGACATAACATTAATAATCACCCTAAGATCAATCAAGATACTAGAAAACATGGTATTTCTTATTTTACATGGAATTGTAAAAGAACCCAGATCTTTACACTTGATGAGTAATTGAGGTTTCATTATTGTACTAATAGAAGAGGGTAATTGAACCCTAGCATTAGGTCTAAACTTTCTCTTGTTAGTGTAACAATCCTTGAGAAATTTTGCATACTATGGAAAATTTTTCACAACATCAAGAAGAGGAACATTCATATGAATTTTATTAAAGAAATCAATTACTTCTTTATCATAAACTCCTTTTGGTTGATGCTTGATCACTTGAGCTTGAGAAAAAAGAAGTTTCCTCACAATTTCTTACTCTTTCTTAGCTTTATCTTCCTTTTTCTCCTCACAATTCCTTTTTCTCCTCTTGCACCAATTCTATAATTTTTGATTTTCTATCTCTTTGGCATTTTTGTGGACATTTCTCGATCTCAATCTCCTTAGTATCCTCCTCCTCGTCATCCCTACATAATTGAGAATTAGTAACACTAAAAGAAGCTTGTAAAGACACGTCATTATGCAAGGATTCATCATGGATAGCCATAGCCTCTCCTTCTTTTCTCTCCTTCTTAACATCTTCACCCATTTCGTTACCACTTCTCAAAGTAATAGCATTAATAGGTGCTTTTATATCATCAAGTAAAGTGTCAATGGCATTTATATCAAGTAGGGAATAATCCTCAAAAGGCCTCTCCATTGCCTCATATATATTGCAATTAATTTGATCTTCCCCACATTTTAAGAGCAAAGTACCCTTATCCATGTCAATTAAAGTACAGGGCTATTCCCATAAAGGGTTTACCAAGAATCAACACATCATCCCTTTTTCTCCTCTTAGACATATCTAGCACATAGAAGTCAATTGGGAATAGCAAGTCTTTTATACAAACAATTGAATCCTCAACAATACCAAATGATTTTCTTAAAGTCTTATCCACTAGTTGGCATATCATTGGGGTCTTATGCATGCAATCAAGCTTCAAAGAAGTGTAAGTTGACAAAGACATAACATTAATAATCACCCTAAGATCAATCAAGATACTAGAAAACATGGTATTTCTTATTTTACATGGAATTGTAAAAGAACCCAAATCTTTACACTTGATGAGTAATTGAGGTTTCATTATTGTACTAATAGAAGAGGGTAATTGAACCCTAGCATTAGGTCTAAACTTTCTCTTGTTAGTGTAACAATCCTTGAGAAATTTTGCATACTATGGAAAATTTTTCACAACATCAAGAAGAGGAACATTCATATGAATTTTATTAAAGAAATCAATTACTTCTTTATCATAAACTCCTTTTGGTTGATGCTTGATCACTTGAGCTTGAGAAAAAAGAAGTTTCCTCACAATTTCTTACTCTTTCTTAGCTTTATCTTCCTTTTTCTCCTCACAATTCCTTTTTCTCCTCTTGCACCAATTCTATAATTTTTGATTTTCTATCTCTTTGGCATTTTTGTGGACATTTCTCGATCTCAATCTCCTTAGTATCCTCCTCCTCGTCATCCCTACATAATTGAGAATTAGTAACACTAAAAGAAGCTTGTAAAGACACGTCATTATGCAAGGATTCATCATGGATAGCCATAGCCTCTCCTTCTTTTCTCTCCTTCTTAACATCTTCACCCATTTCGTTACCACTTCTCAAAGTAATAGCATTAATAGGTGCTTTTATATCATCAAGTAAAGTGTCAATGGCATTTATATCAAGTAGGGAATAATCCTCAAAAGGCCTCTTCATTGCCTCATATATATTGCAATTAATTTGATCTTCCCCACATTTTAAGAGCAAAGTACCCTTATCCATGTCAATTAAAGTACAGGGCTATTCCCATAAAGGGTTTACCAAGAATCAACACATCATCCCTTTTTCTCCTCTTAGACATATCTAGCACATAGAAGTCAATTGGGAATAGCAAGTCTTTTATACAAACAATTGAATCCTCAACAATACCAAATGATTTTCTTAAAGTCTTATCCACTAGTTGGCATATCATTGGGGTCTTATGCATGCAATCAAGCTTCAAAGAAGTGTAAGTTGACAAAGACATAACATTAATAATCACCCTAAGATCAATCAAGATACTAGAAAACATGGTATTTCTTATTTTACATGGAATTGTAAAAGAACCCAGATCTTTACACTTGATGAGTAATTGAGGTTTCATTATTGTACTAATAGAAGAGGGTAATTGAACCCTAGCATTAGGTCTAAACTTTCTCTTGTTAGTGTAACAATCCTTGAGAAATTTTGCATACTATGGAAAATTTTTCACAACATCAAGAAGAGGAACATTCATATGAATTTTATTAAAGAAATCAATTACTTCTTTATCATAAACTCCTTTTGGTTGATGCTTGATCACTTGAGCTTGAGAAAAAAGAAGTTTCCTCACAATTTCTTACTCTTTCTTAGCTTTATCTTCCTTTTTCTCCTCACAATTCCTTTTTCTCCTCTTGCACCAATTCTATAATTTTTGATTTTCTATCTCTTTGGCATTTTTGTGGACATTTCTCGATCTCAATCTCCTTAGTATCCTCCTCCTCGTCATCCCTACATA